TGATCGGTCCCCAGAGTCGACAATCCACCAAACCAGCAACCGTCTCAACCCAAAGGGTTGAAAGAGAAGCCAACCGGGAGAACCTCGTCTGAGCGTGGATTTCATGAGACACTAGTGCCTACAAAGCAAGCACGCGCCCACTAATTTCCACTCTAATTCTATGGTGCACTCAAGCCTGGGTCTGGCTTCTCACTCATCAGAGCTCCCATCCCACAACAGCACAATAGCAACAGATAATAATATAGTGCGGGAAATGTAAATACATCAGTAAAATACAACATAAAAGTGCGGGAAATGTAAATACATTAGTAATATACAACACAAAAATAAACACCCACAGACACGCAAACAAGCGCTAGGATTGACTCTCTTAAGGGACGTTGGATCCCAAATGCATAAGGAATCGGAGAACCAGAGATTCTGGGTTTGATCCCCAGCAGAGTCGCCAGCTGTCGCTTCCGCGAAAATGAGGTGCTGGCACAACAGAAGATTCGCCACCTTTCGTTATTTATCCCTCGGAGCGGGAAAGGAAACGATCGGAAAAACCTGACGAAAAGGGTAAGACAAGGTCGTCGCAACCATTGTCTGGGTTCGGGAGTCGATTACGCAAGGGGAAGGTATTATCACCCCTCACGTCCGTCCTACTCGACGGGATCCACGCTTGTTGGTTTGTCTATGGGTGAAAAACAATCTATCTACGGCTGCTAGATCTAAACGGAAAGAAATTGACTCGATAGAGCGTCGCACTCTATGCCTACGTATTCTCATCAGAGAATGAGAAATCAGAGTCAACGTAGTTCGGGAAACTACGGGGGAGTTTGCTCGGCAAGACGTCGCGTCTTGGGCCTACGTATTCTCATCAGAGAAATTAGAGCATGACGTAGTTCAGGCTAACTACGGCTAGACAGGGGTGTTCTCGGTCACACGGGGGTGAGAGAAATGATTGACGATACTAACGTACACATTCTAGCAGTTAGGTGGACGCTGCTCGACCATTGGAGACTTAGGCGTACCTGTTTGCGGTAGAACGAACATAGTATGTCGGGTTTCGAGGTACGGGAACCTACGGGAACTAGAACTACGGTCTGGTCTCAAGATGCACTTGGGCAAGAGAAAAGGATAACATCAGTCGTCAGCGGGAAAGTCTTGGTCGCACGGCAGCGAGAGAATAAAAGGTTAGTTGTTAGTGTGCTCGCTAGGATATCGCATCCTATGCCTACATATTCTCATCAGAGAAAATCAGAGCAGCTGTAGTTCAGGCTTAACTACGGGTAGAACGGAGACCACAGCACAAATCTCATTTTATTAATATTCGGAAAGAGTACAATGATAAAGAAATAGGACTAAACTCCTAAAAAGTTTATCCATCTAACATGGAAAATCTAATGGAAAATAGTCCCCTAACAAGTGGACTTTTAAATCTACTTCTAAAAGTGTAAAATAAACTCTATGTAGAAATTATATCCTAAAAAGGAAAATATTAAAATACTATCATTTTTTATATCACTATATTTTCTTTTACATATTTTTGTATCACATATTCTCTATTACATATTTTTGTATCACATATTCTTTTCTTTAAAAAACCTAAACAAATGAATATAAAAGAAAATAATGGAAAAAAGAAAGAAAACAGAAGGGGGTGCAAACTGCAGAACCAGAGGTAAGGCAACAAAAAATAAAAGAAACTGGGCCCAGCCCATAAGTGCATTCAGAAAAAAAACAACACAAAAACGGGGGGGGGGGGGGGGGGGGGGGGGGGGAGGAGGGGGTGCAGCGCAGGGGCGTAGGTGTGTAACCCAGCAAAAGAAACCAGAAACTAGGGCCCAGCCCAGCAAAAATGAAGCAGAATTGAGGAGGGGTGAAGCCAATGGAGTGGAGGTGTACAGACGAATCCCCAACAGGGCCCAAGGCCCAAACCAACACACGGACTCCTTTCTCACTATCAGAGAACCCAAACCCTAATCCTAATTTTGGCAGAACACTGTTCATGCGCCGTCCATCTTAGCCTCTCTCTCGTTCATCTTCAATCTCTCCACACCTCTCAAACTTTTCCTCTTCGTTCAAACAAATCTCCTTCATCTCTCCCAAATTCTCTTCTCTCTTCAGATTCTCAAACTTCACCTCCTCAAATCTCATTCAATCTTCGTCTCCGTCAACATTACTTCGAAACCGGTATAACAATCAAAACACGAATCTCCAGAAATATACATTCGTCTGTTGATTCTTGAGGTTCTTGGACGTTCGGATGGATGACGATCTGATGGACGAAGTTGCTGCTTGTTGAGGAATCTTGAGGAAGGCCTTTGAAGTTCAACGATCTTAAAAAACTGGTGAACATTTGATGACGAGGTTCTTGAAGATTTGAGCGATGAAGATTTCTTGAAGCTGTTCATGAAGATCTTTGACGAATGATGTTCTTGACGGTGCAAATCTGGAAACTCCACGGCGAGTCTTATGAAGATTGACGAAGATCTTGAGGATTCATGGATCTGGAGAGTGCTCGATGAGTCTTGAAGTTGTTCTTTATGTATCCGGTGATGATCTGATGAACATTTTCTGGAAAAAATATTGGACGATCTCGATGACGATGATTTCTGGAAAAATGATATAAAGGTGATGAACATCAGTTGAACCTCCCGGCGAATTCTATTGATTATTGATGAAGGTTGATCGGAGGTGGATGAATCTCGGTGATTGTTGATTATTGATGATGATTTCTGGAAATCGGTTGCAAGAACATTGATGAACACGGTGGTTTTCTAGAGAATCATGAGGATATGATGAAGAACACGGTGGTTTTCTGGAGAATCATGAGGATTCCGGCAAGGGCCAGGTTAGTTAGTCGTAAGTGTATCTTCAAGGTTAAGGAAGGAACCGAATGAGTGATGTCAAAGCGTTTTAATGCAAGGTTGGTTGCTAGGGGTTTCACTCAAAAAGAAGGTGTCGACTTCAATGATGTGTTCTCACCTGTTGTAAAGAGTTGATCAATTATAATGTTGTTAGCCATTGTGGAAAAGGTCGACCTAGAACTTGAATAGATGGAAGTGAAGACAACCTTACTGTATGATGATCTAGATGAAACAATCATGATGAGGCAACCTAAATGGTATGCAGAAAAAGGAAAGGAAGATTATCTGTGCAAGCTGAATATGTCTTTGTATGGCCTAAAACAATCTCCTTGATAATGGAATAGGAGATTCGACAAGTCATGGCATACATTGGTTTCACTAGGAGGTAGTTTGACCACTGTGTTTACTTCAAATTTCGACCTAGAAATTTACTTTTTATTTTGTTGCTTTATGTGGATGACATCTTCATAGCAAGCAAAAGTGTCGAAGATGTTATGAAGGTGAAAGTTGAACTCAATAAGGAGTTCGACATGAAGGATTTGGGAGCTGCCTCCAGAATTCTTGGGATTGATATTCAGAGAGATAGAAAGCAGTCAAGATTATGCTTATCTCAAGAGGCATACCTGAAGAAGATTCTCGACAAGTTTGGTATGTCGAATTCAAAGCATGTTCTAATACCGACTAATCCTCGGTACAAGATGGGTTCGACTCAAAGTTCTAGTACTGAAGAAGAAAGAGCTTGTATGAATAGAATTCCATATGCTGGTATAATAGGTTCTTTGATGTATGTTATGTTCTGTACGAGGCCATACATAGCGTACAAAGTGAGCCTTGTAACCAGGTATATGGCCAATCCTAGAAAAGCGCACTGTCAAGCATTAAAATGGATTCTTAGGTACATCAATGGGTCTCTGAGAAGAGCCCTGATTTATCGTGGAGCTTGTGGTGATGATAGTGAAGTTGAAATTGAAGGATTTTTCGAATCTGATTATGCACGTTCTATGGATTCCATAAAATCTATTTCTGGATATGTGTTCACTATGTTCGGCACAACAATTAGTTGGAAAGCGACACTTTAGAAGAAAAATATATTTCCCTCGCCGAAACCGTGAAAGAAGCATTGTGGCTTGAAGGTTTTGCTAAGGAGCTGAAACTTCAAGCTTAAGTTATCACTGTTAAATATGATAGTCAAAGTGCAATAAACCTGTCAAAGAATTCAGCCTATCATGGGCTAACCAAGCACATCGATATGATGATGCACTTCGTCAGAGAGATAATCGAGCATGGAGAAATCCAAGTCTGAAGATTTCGAATGATGATAATGTTGCTGATATGATCACCAAGACATTGCCGAGTAGCAAGTTTTTCCACTATATGCAGTTGATAAAACTGCATGATGAAAACCAGTTTGTTCCCTTGTTAGTGTAGAGTTTGTTCCAATGTGGAGATTTGTGGTATTTGGATCGAACTCTAGTGTCGACAAGGATAGTTTCATGGTTCGGTAGGAGTTGTGCATGATGTAGTCGAAGTCTGTTCACGCATGTTGTCGAAATATATTAGCTTTGTGTTTAAGTTAGCATGTCGAATTAGGCCTTGGTTGTAAACCAAATTGTTAAGTTAGTTTGTAGCCTAAGTTAGCTTGAGAGAGGTTAATTGTTGCTATTCACTTGTAACTTTTGAACCCTTATTGAGTAAGTGAATAGAAAAACAATTTTAACCAATTCTTATTCTCTTTCTTCCTTCTTTTGTAAAACTTAATAGAATTTTTTGTGTTTGTTCAAAAAACTCAATCTTTTTCTCATATTTTAATTTATTTTTGACGACGTCGATTCATAAACAATAGTTATTAAAGAATAAGTATAATTATATATCAAACTTTTTCTCATAGTAATATTAACTACATAAACTAGAAATTAGAAAGCAAACAGTTAATAAGTTGGTTGCTATCCTTTTAGATTACAAATAAATATAAATGTTTGATATTTTCATTTAGACAAACAAGTAATTAAACATCTTTTAACATATGCACAATTTAAAATATATTACAATTATTCCACAACACAATCCAAGGAAATAAGTCAAAAAAACACCCTAAAAGCAACAAAATAAGAAAATATATAGTACATTCTTAATCCATGTAGCATGAAATCAACAAGAAAAACATCCATCTCCTTCTAGATTTTGAAACCCAACATTCTCAATAGCATCAACCGTGTTGAACATCCTTCTCTTTTGCATATCCTCCATCAATGATCGTTGCAATTGTTGTCTCCTCACATCAACACATGAATTAATCCTTGTTAGTCTCTTACATTTGTTCTTTGTTCCATGATGATTCCTATGGTTGTGAGTTTGAGTATGAGAATCCATTTTCATGTTGCAAAACTGTTTGGTGAAACCAGTCTCCACCATCTCTTTTGGAGGACAAAATCTTGTCCATTTGTTGTTGCTTTTTGGATTGCAACAAAATGATTCTTCTTCTACTTGAAGAGTTGAATCGTGTTCGTCTTCGTTGCACGAATCGTTGCAATGGAAATTGAAACACTTGATGGAATTCATTGAGGTTTGTGAGCTTGTATCATCATTCATGTATTGATGATCATCTGCAAATAGTTTCAACTCTTAAACAATAACAAAAAAATTTGACGGGCCAGAGTATCTTTAAAAAAAGACGTGTTTATAAATTTTTTTGACTGATTCACTGAATAAGAAATCGACACTTAGGCCAGTAGATATTGATTAACTTGTTTTCTAAAACTAAATAGATGATTCCTTCCATTTACCAAGGTTCTCAAGAAAACTTCAACTTAGTCAAATAATCAATAAGTTTAAAAACTAGAAGTACCTTGTGACCAATCTTGAGCAAGAGGATAATGATTCCCACAAAGGCTTGCATGGTTGTTGAAGGAAGGACAAAACATAGGAAGAGAACCATGAGAGGAAGATCGAGACGGCGGCGAGAAGAAAGGATGATGATTGTCATCCTCTTCACCATAATTAAAACTATGTTGTTTTTCATACTTAGAATTATCATCACAATCCCTCCATGTTGGAACAATAGTTGAGATCTCTTCTTCAATCATCTCAGCAATCTCTAATGGTTCCAAGTCACTAATTCCTAGCTCTTTCACCATTTCATTTGCAACTTCAATGGCAGTGTCCTTTATGGTGTCAAATGGAAAGTATATGTTTCTTGTGTTCCCTATATTCAAAATTTAATATCTTTAGCAAACCTATTTTATACCATATCTCAAATATTGATTAAATTAATATATTTCATGAATAATTTGTTTCTTTTATATGAATAATTTAACCAATATTTAAGAGAATAAAGTTGATATTTTTAATATCAAAAAAAATAAAAATTAAAGTATGGACCCGTTTGTTTCTGTTTCTTGAAAAATGATTTTTTTTATAATATTACTTATTTTGGCTTTAAAATATTTACAAAGAATTTTAAATCAAAAATTTTATTTTTTAAATAATTTTTTAAAAGTACTATTTTAGAGATATCATCCTTTTTATATTTTTTGGATATCAAAATTTAAATAAATAACTTAAATTTAAAACTATTTTGAATAATTTTTTATAATAAATTATTTTTGAGATAATTTTTTTCTGGAAATAAATTGTAATTTTGACTATATTTTAAACTTTAATAAATGTCAAAATTAATTTTTTGTAATTTAGAAAAAAATATTTTAAGTAATATATTCTCAAAAATCATTTTAAAAATATAAAAAAAAATACTATTTGTCTAAAGAATTTAATTGATATAATTAAATACACTAATAGTTTAAAGATTTTTTATACTATCAGTTATTTGTCAATTATTCGTAACCGTTGATTTGTTAGAAAAATTTAACTTTAATTTTAACTACTTGTAAAATAATATTAACAGATAATTGTGATATTTTGACAATATAAAACTTTTTACGCTGATAGCACAAAACAATTAATCTCTTGTATAAAACTTTCATAAGTGATGAAACTATGCATACCTTTATTGTTAGAAATTTTGACTTTAAGAAAAACAGTATCATCTTCTTCATTCATACTCCCTGTGATTGTCATGAATGTGTTCTTTCTTTGATCATTCAATGAAAGTTCCTCTTTGGCAATTATTGCATTGAAATTGCTTTTTTGAGGTGAAGTTGGACTAAGCAATGGTGACTGATCATGTTGGGCCGTGGCTAAAAATGGGTCCAACAAAAGCTCTGTTGCTGATAATCTCTTCGATACATTTGCCAAACACTTCCCAACAAACTCTTGGGCTTCTATATCTTGAATCTTGTAAAATGCCTCTGGTAGCTTCCCCTTTATTATCAAATTGATAAAATAATTAGAAATTTTTTTAATGCACCCTATATATTTTAATAGTATACCACGTAAAAATATTAAAATATTTTTAAATTTTAAAAATATATCTTCAGACGCACTATAAACATACATAATTTAGATCAATTCTGAGTGATGCCCTAAGAAATATCAAATTATTCAAAAGATGCATCTTCGAAAAAACTTGACATACATAGTTTACAGAAATTTCAAACCTCCGTAGATGCATCTTCGATAAATTCACTTGTATGCTCAATTATTAATATATTTGATGAAAATTCTTAAAGATGTATTTTCAGAATAATATTTTGTGTTAATATAGGGTGTCATTCGTTTGGTGTATCATAAAACAGATGTATGATGCGCTCAAAGATATATCTCTGAAATTTGAAAAACATTTTTGGCTATAATAGTGTTTTTTACCCTATAAAATGTATTTTTTTTTTATTAAACTTACCGAGGTAACTTTTTTGTATATTTGAGCAGGGTTGGAGCATTCACTATAAGGAAACTCTGAAGTGAACAATTCAATCATGCACATGCCAAATGAGTATATGTCTACCAACTCATTATATTTCTCTTCATACAATTCTGGTGCCATGAATTCAGGTGTACCTAATAATCATTCCAAATACAAAAATAAAATCAATTTTATAAACATATAATTTAAAAGAATAAAGACTTGTTTGGATATAAGTGCTTGTAAAACAATTTGAGCATATGAAAATAATTTATGAAATATTCTTCAGAGTGTCATTTTAAGTTTTCGATAGTTCAGTGCAGGTCAGTCATAATTTAATTGTGGTAAAATAATTTATATATAAGCGCTTATATGTGATAAGTGCTTAATTAAAAGATGGTATTTGAGAAATTACCTATGACACTGTGTGCATGTTGAGAGCCACGGAGAATTGCTGCAAGGCCTAAATCACCAATCTTGACCTTTCCCATATGGCCATTGACAAAGATATTGTCACACTTTAGGTCTCTATGTATTACAGGTGGATCATGGCTATGTAAATACATCAAACCATTTAGAATTTGACGAGCCCAATTCTTTATTGCTCTGATATCTACACGGGGGTACTTCTTTCTATACCTAAAATTGTATATATACATGTAAAATTGTTATCACAAATGTTAGAGTACATTTAGCTAAATGGTAGTGTTATAAAAGATCAATTACTAGAATCTGATTGAGACTGAGGTTTCAAATTGCAGTTGTGGTTGCAGCTACATTAAAAATATTAAGAGTAATAAAATAGTTCTGATTTGTCGAACATATCTATTTTGCTTACATTTTTTTATAAACAGAATCAAAATTTAAGATTTGCACCCTCTAATTTACAAGTTTCACGATGCTTTGTTTTTTACCTGTTTTAACGAGAATAACATCGTTTTTTGCCACGTTTAAACTTTAGGGGTATAAAGTCCACTCCGCCCCTTTTATTAAACGAGCTAAGGTTTTTTATTCACAACATCAAGTATGCATGTTTCGCTCTATTTATTTTTTTAAAATGCGTAACAAGTCTGTATGAAATAGACATGTTTGTTTTGTCACCTCTAACAAACACTTCTATTATAGAAAAATACATAAAAATGTCTTTGGTGTTTAGCAAAATATAATGTAACTATGATTACTCGCAATGTCAATACTAAAGTTCTACAACTACCATAACTCTAAATTGCGGTTTGCAACTACAAATATAAGCATCAAGTCAGTTATTTTTATTTTCACACAACATTTCAAATTGCAATTGTAATTTAGAATCATATATGCAACTAAGATTTAAAACGAATCAAAACATATAAAAAATAAAGATAATAAGTAATGGTTAAAGATTTACTCTCTTAGGGTTCCGGAGGTGAACAATTCAGTAATAAAGTTGAAGGTTCTACGATCAATATCAATCCAAGTACCATGAAAAGTAATGATAGAATCATGATCCAAGTTCTTTAGAAGATGAACTTCTGAATATAGGCGTTGAAGTTGATCCGGTGATTGAAAAACATCATCAAGTTTTATTTGATTCCAAGCCACTTCAATCCCTACGATTTCATCAAATGCCTTATACACAACCTTCATAGCTCCTTTGCCAAGAACATCCTTAAACTACAAACACCAATAACCATAGTTAAGTAATAATATCTCTAACACCATTCTTCTAATCTATTACATCCTTGGTGTCCTACATATATTAGTATGTATTGTCAAAGTCTTGTTTGTATAGAATAATTAAATATTATTATTTAGATTAATAGATTCTTTTTTATTATGAATTAGTTTATATTTTTTATTTAAAAGTCAAACTTATGAGTTTGGTGTGTAATAATATATCATTAGTGAGTCTCAATAATTCAATTTGATTTATATTTTATATAAATGGCCCTTGGGTGTACTAGAGAGTTAATTTTGTGTGATGGTGTCACATAGTTAACAATCCAAGACTTGGTAAAAGGATAAAACATGACACATGGTGCTTAATTTGTTTATCTTCCTAAGAGAATTGAAATTAATAATAATTTATATACAACACTCACTTTTAAATTTAACAAAATATTTATAAAATAAAATCGTGATAGATTTTTAAACTTAAAGCAAACAATATTCCATAATCACAACAAACAGCCGATTTGAAATAAGTCTTTGATTTTTAGTAAGACTAATTAAATTGATGGATCTTCTATAATTTAATTAACTAATTTTCTATTTTGTAAATTAAAAAAAAAACTAAATTATAGGCACTTATATATATATTTAAATCAAAATATTGTGAAATAGTTAAGATAAGAAAATATGACTCATTTTATTAAAACCATTAAAAAATATCTAAATTAGAAACTAAGGAAAACTAGGCATAAAGTAAAATTATAATTCACAAAAGGAATTAATTTATGTAAATTGAGTAGCATCCTTATGCAAAAAGAAAGGATTTCAATTCATATTTTCATTTGACTAATGAATTTATGATTTCACATCCCTCTAATCTAACCATATTTCTATAACTTAATTCTCCAATTTTCAGAAAAACAAAATCGTTTAGAAATTTAAATTTTGGTTGGATGTAAGTTCACTTTAACTAAAAAAAAATATTTCATTAGAATTCGAATTCAGAATCTCTCGATTAATTATTCAATGAAACAATTAGAAATATTTATATCATATACAAATATAAGAATCTATTAGAAATACGTACCCGTCCATATCGACCTGAAGGATCGGTTTCAACATATCCAAGCTTAGTTTTGCCTCCTATTCTTCCCTTAAACATGGCTTTGCCTCCTAATCTTACTTAACTAAAAAAAGTGATTAATGGAAAATTATATTTAATTAAGCTTATCTTGTATGATTCAAGTGAAAGTATATGCTAGATAATCCGAGGCTTCCACTCATGATTCTCATATGAAAAAACACCAAATAATTGCCATAAGAGTCTTGAGTAGTCAACACTTAGCATAATCCAAGCCATTTCAATAAATCCAAATGAAATTTCGTAGAATTTTTGTTGAACCATTTGAGTCAAAAAGTAAAAAAAAAAATTTAAGATGAAAGAGTAATGATAATATGGTTGAATATATTTGTGGTTGAAGAGAATTTGAAAAGATTAAAAGGGTAACTTAGAAATTGAAAAGATTATAGATATGACATATGAATGAAATTGGGGTTCTAAATTTAAAGAACTTTGGGCCATGTTTTGATAGAAACATTTGTGGTTGTGAGAGATGAAGATAAATCAAATTGGTTGGATTAGAGAAAGAGAGAATCTCTAAGAAGAAAAGGGTATGATAGATTTTGATTTTGGAGTTGAAAAAAAGAGAGAGAAGAAGTCTTAATGAGTTTAAGGATTTGTTTAATTTTGTGGATTATAGAATGTGGAAATTCAAGAGTTGTGGTTGAGGAGTTATATGGAATAATTTTAATAGAAAATTATGTTATATAAATATTTTACAAAATGCACAGTTAGCATTCATATAATAAATAATAATATATCAATAATGTGTTTATTTATTTATTTATTTTTTGTATAAATTATTTTCTGCATTCGATTAGAGAGACTAATTCTATAAAATTAGAGAGAATTTTAATCGACCTCAAAGTTTTTTTTAAGAGATTTAAATTTATGATCTTTTAAATCAAAATTTAAATTCTTAATCTCGAATTAAGTCGAAAAATATGTATTTTATTTAATAATAAAATTATTTTATCATATATATATATATATATATATATATATATATATAATTTTGGAATTCAGTTAATGTAGAGGTACAAGTCAATTAAATTATTTAATTGGCGATGAATATGAAATTGCATTAATGCAATGGTTGAGTTGAAAATTCTAAATGTTGATTATGTCACTTATTTTTTTAGTTTCTTTAACATGCCAACTTGCTAAGATAATTATTTATTTGTAAAGAACAATTTAGTCGTTTTCAGACCAAAAAAAATAGGTGTGTATTTATATGAATTTGTCAATGCAATCAGAATAGTGACGGTTTTATTTGTTATTTAAGAAGGATTTTAAATTTTTCATTAATTCATACTTTTTATATAAGGATTATTTGATTCAGATTTTGGGAGAAAATAAATTTGGAAAAACTAAAAATAATTGGTTTGAATTTTTTTTTACAATTATTTTTTAACAAATCGGAAAGTAACTAAACTGGTGAAGAATTGGTTGGCTTGGTTATATCAAGTTGTGTTAATTGTTTTTCATCTTCAACATGTTTTTTTTTTCTTTTGTTTTGTTTTACGCTTAGATTTTGATTATATTATCCTAGTCACATAGATTCAACTACAATGGTCCTTGCAATTAGCGTTAATCCAATCCTCTCAGAATGTGTGAAAAAGTTTATTCTAAGTCAAACGATGAGGATACAAAAAAAAATTATTTAAATTATTTAAGAAAAGAAATCAGTTTTCAGATTCACATTACTTCAATGAATTAGAAGAAAATAATCTTTCAAATTTATAAAGAAATTTCATATTTTTATTTAAGTATTTTTCAGTTTCTCATTTAAATATATGAATCTCATAAATTTAGAATGTTTAGTAGAATTTTCAATCCTTTTAGATAGTTTCATAGATCTTCCAACCGTTAGAAAATGGATTCTAAGAATCTTTCTATTTGTCTCTTTAAGTGTTAGGAAGATCCTAAAGTCTCACATTGGTTGAAGATAAAGTATTGAAATAGTTTATATAGAGTGGCACCCCTCACCTTACCAACCGGTTTTGTAGGGTTGTGTTAGGCCAAACTCTAATATGGTATTGGACGTGAGGGGGTTTGTTAGGAAGATCCTAAAGTCACACATTGGTTGGAGATAAAGCATTGAAATAGTTTATATAGAGTGACACCCCTCACCTTACCAACCGATTTTGTAGGGTTGTGTTAGGCCAAACTCTAATACTAAGAGTCTTTATAAAAATCGTCAATACACTTGTATGTCTCTCTTACCTATAAAGAGGTTGAAACTGTCTTTTTCTAAAATACATTACATTTTTGCACACAAAAATGCAAGACGCATTGTGTTCATACCAAACACATCGCGTTGTCGCAAAGTAGTTTCTTGGATTTTGAAGCCAACACGACAATTCGCCACTTTGTTTTAATGTGCTCGGTCTTGTCCTATTCACCACAATAGTACTTTCATGGGTGATTTAAAGGATGTCCAACACTTCTTTGGCAGTTTCACAGTGAGAAACTCGCAAAAACTCATCAAGACTGAGAGCGGTAGTGATTTAGTCCAATTCTTTTCAGGTTTGTTTTCTACAACACCATTGACTATGCGTGTAGGAACAAATGAACCTTCATTCATAGCCTTTCAAATACCACGATTCATCCCTTCTATGAAAAACTTCATTTTCTATTTGGAGAAACTATATCATTCTCCATTAAAGAATGGGGAGTTGTTTAGTCAATAACTTAAAGTCATTGTTCTTCCTGAGACAAGTAGTCCTTAACAAGAATTAGGCTCTAATGCCACTTGTTGGAAAAGTGACTTCAAGCACAAGTGGGGTGAATTATGGTATTTAAAATTCGTGATTACTTTTATACTTTTCTCGCTTAAGATCGTGTTAATGGTTTCTTTAAGAGTAAATGGCAGCAGAAATAAAAAAAAATTATAGATAGCAGAAAATAAAGAGAGTAAGGGTTAAAGAGATTACACCAGAGAGTTATCCAGGTTTTTCCGAACGTTGGCTTAGTCCTGCCCCCAAGAGATCCTCTCAAGACTTTGTTTAAAACTTTGAGCTTTTACAGGTTATGCCCACAAACCTTTTAATACAAGATGGTCTTTACAATGGATTATCCCCAATCAAACAAGAAGCTTTTATCCAATCTAATATAACAATAAAAATAGATATTTTCCCGGCTAATCTCAAGAACCAAACAGAGATTGTGTGTATCTTAACTTTGTACCACCCACACTACTACAAATAACACATTTAACGTCGGTCGAGAAATGCATTTAACCTCGGCCACACAGGCGAGGTAACGAAGGGCGACATAAAAAGTAATCATTTTTCACCTCGGTATTTTTAAAACCAATGTTAGAAATTAAATGGTCATGGATTCCATTCCCGGCATCTGTGTTTTTATAATTTTCAGAAATTGGATGTCGCACCCAATAATAAAACTCAATCTTTTGTGGAATCAAGATAATATCTCAATGTTATTACAAAACCATATTTCTGAATATAGAACCATATTTTTAGAACCAATTATAGGATTATATAACCATATTTTTTTGGAACCTGTATTACAGAATCAATTACAGAACAATTTTCAAAACTAAAACAAAGGATTATGAAACAAAAATAATAACCAAAATGGAAAATTTTGTAGGTTGTCCAATAAAATTTGTCACTGGTCCTTAAGCACCTATAGTTTGAACAGCATTTGAAACTAATTAGGTTAATTAACAACAACTTATATATATATATATATATATATATATATATATATATATATATATATATATATATATATATATATATATATATATATATATATATATATATATATATATATATATATATATATATAGTACAATGAGTAAAATGATTAAACCTTAAATAGTCTGTTGGTCCCTTTAAGTTAGTGAGTTTTTGATTTTGGTCCCTGTAAGTTTTTTTTGGTCTGAGTCTCTATATCTCACTTTTTGCATGCGTTTTAGTCCCTAAAACCAAAAATCCGCAGGAAAATCTGCATATTTTGACTTTAGGAACTAAAACGCATGCAAAAAATGAGATATAGGGACTTATACCAAAAAAACATACAGTGACTAAAATCAAAAACTCGCTAACTTACAAGGACGAAAAGTGCATTTAAGCCAATGATTAATTATAAATTTCAAAGGGATATAAAATATTTACTTACTATTTTTCCCATATTCCCTCTTCATGATCATGACGAATAGCATGCACATCATCTGAATCATTTTCTTCAAATGCTTGATTTTCATCAGTACTATTGGGGAGATGTTTACCTTGAAGAACAATTGACCATATAGTGTTACAACAATTGACATAAAAAACTTAGACACTCTAAGTAATTATATTAAACTTAGGCATACGCGACAACCATTTGCAAAGATCTTATGTACTACTTTCTTTGCAAATGAAAATATGTGGAAAAATTGAATTCTAATAAAAAACAAGAATAACCTTTACTCTTCCCAAAAGAAAGAAATGACTATAATGATTGAAATTTTTATTCATTTCTCAAGATGGTCACGCATCATTCAAGAATATCAACCATCAGAAGTAATCATTGTAAGTACAGAGTATGCCTAAGAGGGGGGGGGGGGGGGGGTGAATTAGGACTTTAGAACTTTTTCCGGTTTTTATGGTTTCTTTAAATTTTACTGGTTTGTGTTCTTGGTTATGAAAGCAGTAGAAAGTAAAAGAACAATGGACACCAGGATTTATAGTGGTTTCCCTCACAATCCGAGAGTACTCCACTCCCCTTTCAACACGAAAGAGAGTTTTCACTATTATTTAATAAAGTACAACCTATCACACCATCAACCGGTGAGGCCTACTATCAAACAATAAAACTAACAAGTATACAAGAACAATCCTCTTGTAAACACTCACCCTTGTGTCCAACAATCCTGGATCACAAGTCAGAATACAAATACTTGTAATGATTTTGTTTTGTGAATAATAATATCAATCAAACTTGATCTTCTCCAAAATGATCAAAATTCACTCTTATAATTTTCAACACAAGTGTTCAACAGATGAATATGAAATTTTTATGCAATTATG